TGCCATAAACTGTATTTCTGAAGCACATATATCTGCGTAATACGTTTGGTTCAAACGCTGTGACGGGTGTCTGAACCTGTGACTCATTACTGCTCTGAAATGCCTCATGTTTCATTTTGTGGCTTCCTCCACATTCTTCACCTTCCTCTTAGCCTGAATCCCACATGGTGCTGGAAATTAGGGCAGTAGCTCCCTGGAGAATTTTGGTATAAAACAAGGTTTCTGGAATATAGTGCATGTATAGGCTGGTAATAGTGTTTCAGTCAGTAATCACTAATTGTGTAAAAATGGTGATGAACACACTATTGTCTGCCCATCCGTGAAACATATCCAGAAACAGAGGCAGTATGAGAACTGCTGGCAGAGCACTAGCAGCATATGCACTGAAAATACTGTCCACCGCATTGTTCCCCAGAAATTTCGACAACACCTCACTGAGTGCTACTCCTTCTCTGCAATAACACTTGTCTGTCTTTGAAGGCTTCTCTCAAATTAAATACAAAGCATTTTGGATGGTGTGAGTAGTAATGGACTCTTTTTAGGCTGCATTTTTACAGTCTTATTGAGCACTCAAGGTGCTTTACAGTTATACTCCACACACTCATTCATACAATGCTTGAGGTCCTGTGAGGAGTTAAGTATCCTACCCAAGGACACTTTGGAATGCAGATTCAAGGACTCAGGGATCGAACTACCAACCTTCTGGTTAGTGGGCGACCCTCTCTACCAACTGAGCCATGTTTACAGATCCAAGTTTTATGCACTATACTTAACAAACCATCAATGCCATGACACACAATCAGATGTTGTTTAATGTAATTCAATTACTTCCTTCCCCTTCTAGAGCCAAGGAGATGTGCAACACAGACTGACTGCACAAGAGCAGAAAGCAAGTGGTCTGATGATATGTAAACCAGCAGGTGGAGCTCAACAAACTGCCAACAACGAGTTAACTGCACCCATCTCAGTGGCCTAATCAGATGGCATTACATCCTTCTGAGACCATTACATCACTGTCTCAACAAACAGTCTGTAAACATGTTTGATTTGTTTTCCCAATGGACTTTTTTTGTTAATTCACCATGTTTCTTTTCACCTCTGCGAAAAAGTCACAGTGAATCACCTTTACTGGGGAGAATCATTAGTGTTGTTAGCATGTTGATTTTGCTCTTCACCCCTTGGGTGTTGCTGTAGAAGACTGATGCTGATACGTTGCACCGTGCACGTTTCTAATTGCGAAGGTACGAGGTTTTACTCAGGGAGGAAGAGCCTGTAGATGACATTATGCAGCTCCATTGACAGGATGAGTCAGGTGAATGTGGACAGACTGAAAGTCGCTGTGTTCCTTATGTCAGGGAACAAAATCCTCCTTCAGTGAGGGAGCTTCCAGTCCAGTCAACGTCAAAGTATGAGTAACTAATTTGACAGCAAGCTATAAGGTACAGTTACTTCCATGTCTGAAAAACATTAGATGATAACAAATTGCGAAAGACGCTCGCCTGTGGCTTCAATCACGAGTGTTTCTCTTATCAGCGCAGAGCAGTGCCAGGACTGCTATTCGATAAGACATTGTGTTCCATGAATAGAAATGTAAATCTAATCTATAGATTCACTGAGCAGAAAAAATGCTCAGAAAAAAGCATGTAATGTAATATGTACACTGAATGTATATTTTACACTTTGGACAAACCCCCAAATTATGATCACGAATGCAAAAATACACTATAGCACTATATTTTTCATATGCCACTACAGATTTGCTTTTGCTCAATTTTGGATTCAGTGTGTGACAAACAAGTGCACTTTCTCATAATGAGAAGGAATTATTTATAGCATGCTGTGCTCTTATCATTTGTCGGGCCCAACAGGTACAGAAAGATGAAGTTCAAGGACACCCGAACTTGTCCTCCAAGCAAGCTGTTTCTCGGACAAACATTCATCATTCAAGCACAAGGCTGGACAACATCGAATCCTTCTCTCAGCCTCAGAGAATTAATTGGATAAACAAATCTCTATGTATGTGGCAGGCACCTCTGTGCTTGACTGAATTAATATTGCACACAAGATAGTTCACTTATTTTTCTCCGTTTGCAGGAATTTAATATGCCTATTTAATGCATGACCCTTCAGTTTTGGTATGGTCAAAACTCCATGGAGAAAACAATTACTTTGCAAATTATTATTGCACAAAGAATATTCAGGGGCGTCTTTCCGGAGAGATAATTATATTCTGAGGCCTTCATTGAAGAGCTCCATAAGTACATAGTACATTTGTAAACTCATTCTCATCAGGACTGTAATTCATGCTGCACTGGTGGCGCTTCATCTACTTCAGCCAACAAACACAAGTGTGTCAGCTGGAGTAGAGCGCAGAACAAAACACCATTGTTGTTTGCAGTGTTCTCCGTGGTAAAACTGTGGATTGCAGATGAATGTCTCCTGTTTTCTAAATCTGAGTTCTGTTTCTCTCTCGAAACATATACATATATATATATATATATATATATATATATATGTATATGTGTATATGTGTGTGATTAAAACTGTAATTATGACCCATCTGATTGCACTTCTTTGTCACATTAGATTATATATTGTGCTTTGTAAATAGACTTATCCTTTCCCTAAGAGGTTTAATAAGCACACGCCAATGGGAGGTTACAGAAGAGGATGCAGGCTGTAAAAACTTAATTACCATATTAGCACTTGTCATTGCCTTTCTACTTATGATAGAACATGATACCTCTGTTTAAAGAGATAGTGTTTCCATTGTGTGGGTGTGTGTGTTCGTTGTACTTATATATTTGTGAGGACCATTTTGAGCATAGACCATAGACTGTATATAAAGAGGCATAGACCTTACTGAGTGAAGACATTTTTGGAAAGGGAGGACAGTCCTCACTTTTTCAAAGAGCTGTTTGAGGGTTAAGACTTGGTTTTAGGGTTAGGGTTCGAATTAGGTTTAGATTAAGGTTAGGGTAAGGGGCTGGTAAACGTATTATGCCAGTCTGTATTAGTGCCCTCACTAGATAGGCAATGGTGTGTATGTGTGTGTGTGTGTGTGTGTGTGTGTGTGTGTGTGTGTGGGGTGAAAAGTAAAGTGGGAGGACTGGCACCTGGCCTCTTCAGATAATCTATTTATGGTTCTCGCACTTCATTCTGTCTGAACCAAAATACGTGCCTCTTGAATATGTTTATCAAATGTCTCATTGTTATCAGTCGCAGCTGCAACTACCCATGAAGGTGTCCCTACTGCAAACTGACCATGGCTTATATACTTTTTCCTTGACCTTGAAATTGTTATCTTTGTGACATCTGCGTGCCTTTTCTAGCTCAAGAATAAAGTCTCATATGAAAGGTCAGCACTGCTGTAGGAGGATGTTTATTATATATTAATAAAATATGAGAAACCAACTCACCTGAGAAACCTGCTCACTGATGCTGCATCAGCTGACTTTGGAGTACACGTCTTTCTCTGGAGTCTTCTATACTGGAATTTGTTCCTCCAACATTTAACCCTCATCAACATTTTAAAACACAGCCTTAGTTTTAGATACATAATTTCTGAGAAGGTTTGAAAAGGAGCTCCTCCACAGGGAACAGAATATGTTAGCAAGGAAGAAAAACAAGATAGGTACTGTAGTTTTAAAATCCAGACAAGTGAGACAACATATGACACTTTGACGTTGGCAGAAATATGGGTTCAGATCAAAAAGATTTTAAGCAAGCAAACTCTAAAATGATCCACCTACCATCGACAAAATATGTCACACATCCTGCTTAATAACTGCAGGTGAAGGTAAAAAATACTTTGAAGATTGTAGTCAGGTATGACTTGAAAAGATTAAATAATAGATTAAAGGTAAGATTTCTCCCAAGACATTACTTGAGAATAAAACCTTTAACCTGAATCAGTTATTCATGAGCAAATATTCTGTGGATTTAATGAGTAATTTTGGTCCCGAGGTTGGACAGCATGCAGCTGGACAATACAAGAAAACATAAGAGACGGGAATGAAAAGCACGATTAAATTTCACCTCAGCAGTAAATAATTAAAATCCTTAACCATGAAATGATTTCCAGGGTGGCTATGAGGTGTAGTGTGTTGATTTGCTATAATAAGATAATCTAAGGTTAGCTCTGAATCAAACACCAAGGTTTTTTGGCAGTTTCCACCACATGATTGCTCACTGAAAGCGAAGCCAATGTGTCTCGATTGCCACCTGCTGTCTGGCTGCAGTATAGGTCATAAATCCCACCTCCTCCATGTTAATTGGTGGGACAAAGGCTAAAAAGTCGAAACAGCCATCAAATACAGTTTTCTCAAAGATAATTTAAGTCATTTTAGGTGGTTCTTATCTAATTTATGTATGTTGTATGTCGTGTATGGTTTTACCCCGTCTTAGTGTTTGTTTGTAAGTAAGATTACACAAAAACAACAGATTTCCACGAAATTTGGTGGAAAGATATGGACATGTAAGAAGCTGTCAAATTTTGGTTTGGATCCGGATCAGGGGACAGAAACAGGATTATTTCGTTGTATCTGGGATATTTTGGCTTCACTTCTGGATAGTGGGAGGAAACGGACACACATCCATTTTTTCATATAGAATCTATGACAGGAATAATTTGCTTTCAGGAATAAATGAAATATAGCTTTTGTCTGCACTGATAAAACAAAAATGATGCAGAAATAAAAGCCTTAATGTTAATCTGACAAACATTTTTACATTATTTATTCTTTAACATCAGATCCCCACATCTTGCTCCATGGTTTTGTCATCGCTGTGAAGTAAGTTCCCTTTGCAGACGTGCCTGTGAAGAAACTAAAGCCTGCTCCCACATTAGTTGTATGGAAGCAGTAATTAATCCATATATGGACACACACAGTCAGTGCCACGCCTGGGACACCTCCTCGTTCTGCGGGCTTGCTGTGTCCTGTGGTCGGCCTGGGCCTGGGCCTGCCCCCGCTGCCAGGAAGTTCAGGAACTCGGTCACCGCCCCGGCTCCAGCTCCCCCCCCCCTCACGTCCCCACCCCTCCGCTTCATCCATTGTTGGGCAACAGCCTGCGACATCGAAACAATCGTGACCGAAACTTTCCAGGTAACGTAACTCGCTGCAAATCTTTTTTTATTTTCAACAAACTACTCGGGTTAACTTGTCGTCACACTTTGGGCCGTGTTCGCTCGGTGGCCTGTGGCGCAGCTGAGCTAGAGTCAGCGAGGGGAAGAAAAGTTTTCAGCCGAGGAATTCCGTAGTTCTCGTTCCTCCATTTTGAACTTTTAAACTCCGGGTTTTTCAAGTGGACTGTTGTCGGTAAATTTACTAACTTTTATTGCGACCGCACTCAGGACAAAGACTCCCGCTGCTGGCAGTGAATGGGACAGGCCTTTGAGACCACAGCTTAAGTTTCCCGCAGCTTTAAAACAAGCTAACGGAGCTAACGCTGATGGTTGTTGTGTCGGCTAGCATTAGCGTTAGCAAGATGCCGTGTCCGCTCCAGCGGACGTTAGCAGGTAACGCACCGTGCGGTTAGCTAAGTTGTCTTAAATATAACCGGTGTCCTATTCAAAGAACAACCCATTTCAAATCGGCCACAGCACCGGGTGGTTTTAATGTGTCCACAACAGCACTATTTATTTGTTGTCGATAACGAACGACACATAGCTGTGTAAACAATGATAGATTCAGGTGAAGTTAGCAGCAACAGGTGTAACCCCACCCAACGCTGTTAGCACCTAGCTCACCCGGTGCTCGACCCACCCTGCCCCATACAAATAGGTGCTGAACATGTCACTTTGTGTCCCTCTTGTTCGTAAACTACAACATCAAACGTTTTTTCTCTGGTTTCTCTTGGACCTGATTTATTCATCTGCTTGGAAATCATCCAGCTCTTCCGCAGTTACATTCCGTGGCCTGTAGCCCTGCACACACTTTTAGTTTCATCTGATCAGAGTCGCAGATATCTGCTCCTGAAACTACTCTAGCCACACCCAGACCCTCACAGAGGAAGTAAACAGAATTTCACCAGTGATGTCGCAGTTACCTGGAATAATCAACAGACTGGCTGTGAATACTGTACAATCATTTAACAGTTACTAGTTGTCTCAGTTGAAAGAATCCACAGTTAGATGTTTGAGCTACTGGTGAATGTTATGTTTCTAATAAGAGCATTCAGTGCTGAGTTTTCCAATGTGTTGCAGTATCTGTTTTAGAGTCACACATTTCTCAGCAATGATCTCAAACCTCAAAGCTATCGTCATTGTTAAATATCATTTTATATATATATATATATATATATATATTTGATTTGTGTGACGTTAAACCCGGCAGTGGTTGATAAGTAATTGCAGATGAAAGCTTCAGTGAATACTGTGGAAGATTCTGTGCTTGTGATTTTTGTGCTGGATAAAACAAGTTTTAATTGTGACAAACAATCTGCATCCATTCATACTGGCTGGCATTTTTTTCCTTTTCTGTCAGGTCAAAAATTAAAGGGTGTCATAGATCATAGCAACTATAGCCATCAGTATCATTGACAGCCACATTTGTAACACTTTCAGCTAGTAAAAAACTGTTAAATTTAATGTTGGTTAGTCGTTCAAATATTTTTGTGGTGTATTTAATATTTTGGTTTAATTGTCAACAGTGTAGGCTAATGGCTAGTTACAATATCGTTCTCATAATACAACTGGCCAGCCTTTCATCTTAAGGCCCTCAACCCTCAGGGCTTGCTGATTATCCCTGCCCCTCCATGTTTGATAGCTAATCAATGGAGCTGCAGCCACTGAGTGAAAAGAGAAATCGAAATTGGGCCACAGTGTTACTGTGCATGGCTTTTGGCAGACATTCTGTGAGAGATGAGGCATTGCTGGCTCTAACAGGGAACCTAATATTTTGACTATTGCAAAAACCTTTAGAAAGTAGTCTGAAATTCATAAAGGAATATTGATTGAGGAAGCAAACTTTTTTTTACTGACTGCATCTTCTACAATAGTTTTCCTTTTTATTGGCTAAAGCAAAAGGCTGTCTTTTGTAATATACAACCACAGTCAATTTGAAAAGAGAGTCATGTATTCATGTTGTTTGATGCAGTCACATGTTTTCTTTCATTATTGCATATAGAATGAAATTGACTTAGTCCTGGTCTTCTGTTTTACCCCCTAAATTCCAGACACCATGACGAGCATCAACACAGCAAACATCAACTTTAAATGGGATCCAAAGAGCCTAGAGATCCGCACTCTTGCAGTGGAGAGGCTGCTGGAGCCCCTGGTCACCCAGGTAATGTCAACACAAAGTATTTTAATTCATAATAATGGGATATGTAGAATTGACATCCTGGTTCGAAAAATGCTTGAAAAGAAGCAATTATTTGAATGTGTTTTTATTTAATCATTAAAGATGTATTTTGTGAATATGACGATGCTAATTCTTTTGATAAGAAACTAAAATCTAGTACAATGGTGTTGAAAGTTTTACATGTGAAAATGACCCATCCTGAAGCTGCTGTTTCTGACATTAGCTGTTACACTGAGCCATTTTGTCTTCCTGCCAAATATAGGTAACTACTTTGGTAAACTCCAGCAACAAAGGTCCATCTAACAAGAAGAAGGGACGCTCAAAGAAGGCTCATGTTTTGGCTGCTTCAGTGGAAACTGCTACCCAGAACTTCTTGGAGAAAGGAGAAAAGATTGCAAAGGAAAGTCAGTTCCTTAAGGATGAGCTGACTGCAGCCGTGGAAGATGTCCGCAAGCAAGGTATATTGAAAATGCATACTGCAGTAGCGTGTGCTTTCTAGCTTCTACAAAGTACCTCTTAAGATAGCAGCGATAATGAATAAATCATAAGCTATGTACATATCATCTGCCCCAGTGGAAGACATTGCAATAAGATCATGCTTTGAGCCTGATATATTTCCACTTGCTGTTGGGTTTTCAGGGCTCCCATTACTAGACTTTATACGGTTCACATTTGGTTCAATCCATACACTGTCATTACCTTGCCACCTACACGGCTCTAAATCAAAAATGGTTCCATTCAGACATCCATGGGTTCTTGTAGCTCAGTGTAAGTTTGCTCGGAAGTTATTTGCACTTCACCATCACTAACCTCTTTTAAGCCTAAGCTAGTATTTCTCCTCTTTTATGTTTCTTGTCCTTGTTCTGTTGTGATGAAGCAATATCAGGTTAATAAAATACTCCATAAATTAGGGCCAGGCAATAATTCAATGTTATTGTCTATCATAACGATGTGGTGTGATGGAAAAAATGTCCTAGGTGTTTGTAATATGTTTATTACAAGTTTCTTTCTGATGTATGTGCAGTAAATATCAGAAGAATCCATCTTTCATTTTACATTTTCAGAAGGAACATATTCATGTTTATAGTGGGCTAATAATGGCCATGCACCATCTTACCTCCTTATTCCCTGCAATATAATTCCACTGAAGTCCTCTGATTATAATAGAAAATCTCCCCCACCACTGTGTTTGAGCAGCATCATCTTTGTTGGTCTGTCAACAAATAAAAACAGATATTCTATTGTGTAAATTCATATTCTGTTGGGGGTGGAATAAGAGGCGCTGCTGCTGTCTGTCTGTCTGGCAAAAGCTTGGGCTGCTGCAGTGCATGCACTGCATGACAGACAGGAGTCGCCCAACATCACAGACATTGATTGATAATGAAATGTATGTCACGCTCAAATGAGTAAATAATTCAACAGCTTTGTGGTAATGGTAGAGAATTCTCAAGTCTATTTGGTTGCAGAGTGATTTGCACTCAGAGCTATCTAAAAACTCTGTTGGATTTTGCTGAGTAGAACACAGAATTCTCGAATTTAAAAATAAAGTTGCATGCATGCTCGGTAAGCTACAGATAACCCAACATTCTGGCACCAGCTACCTGAGAGAGCATCATGAGAATATGAGCATGGCCTGATGTCAGGAACTCTACCCAAACAGCCACTTCTTGACTCGTATTTAACACCATAGAATGTAGGTATATAGTGAGGCTTGAATTCTCTGCAGGAGCAGCTGCAGGTTTGGTTCCGACCTGGCTCTTTGCTGCAAGCTCCCCCATCTTTCTCTCACCCTTTCAGGCTTAAAACCTGTCTTATCAGTGAAGGTGAGAAAAAGTAGGTATGTAGATGTTTTGAAATGAAGATACAAGGGCAAAAAAAAGATATCATGTCCGGTTTGCCCTGTTTTGATTGCAGTAGACCGTTGATGGATCTTTGTCAGCAGCAGTGACATGTTTCAGCTTGATTTACCTCTGTTATCCTGCTCAGACTAGTGGCAAAATGGATCCTTTGTGCCAGTCTGTAGAGCACATTATTTTGCAGCCTCTGGAGCTGAAGTTGTCTGTAATGATGATGACGAAATCAAAAGTGAATCATCAAACACCAGGAGGCTCATCTTGTCTTTGTAGGGAACGCGGTGGTAGTTGAGATTTTCTGGCATTCTGTGTAAAAGGTTATTTGCTCATTGTGTGACAGAAGTGACACACACGGTACCTATTATACATTTGTGTTAATGAAAATACCTCCCTTTTTGGTTGTTTCCATGGTGATCAGAAGGAAGTGCTTGTCCTTCATCAAGGGATAAGGGAAAAAAATGTGTATAGATGTCATTGATGATGTCAAATGTATTTAAATGACTATCCACCTGCCCGGGGCACTCAACCCACACACAGTCCATTTCCAATTCAATTTCATACCTCCTAAGTCTCAAGACAGGAATCCACCATCAAATCACCTGCCAATGAAATTACCATTTGTCTTGTGATAACAGGCTATATCATCTAACAACCACACTTGGAAGCCTCAATTATTCCTTTCTGCTCTGAATATCTGTCTCTCTCTTGACACAATAGCAGACCATTGAGACCAGGGAGCTTTGACTTCAGGGTGGCTGTTATCACCTTGTGAAGCAACATCTGTGTCACTGTCTCCTCTCCCCAGATGCCCAGCGAGTTATACTGTGTCCCTTGCTCGAGTACTGCTCTGAGTAGTTGGGAGGTAGATGACATGTGCTTGTGCTGTGCTCAGTGCCCAGGAATGTTACTGTCGTCGTGGTAAGCTGTCACTGGGCCGGAATTCAGTGACTGTTGTTAGCTGGTGCCTAGGCCTGGCTGTCAGCTATGCCATGCTGCTCAGTGGAGCGTGCCTAGACTGATAATACGGCCATTGAGTAGGGTAACACCCCCACCCCCACTGGATTCTGAAAACATTTTCCAACCAGCTGTGACTTACCAGCTGTTTAAAATGAGAGAAAAATTTCTGACATGATCATTGAGGATGACTGTGCTTAAAATTCATGTAGAAGAGGCAAGCAGACTAAAATTTTTAAACATTATAATATATATTTTATTTACAATTGAAATCAGTATACACATCTCACATTTCTTATCCTATAAAACACTTTATTTATTGAGCCATTTCTGTCTGCTCTTCTCCTTGTTCTCTCCATTTTGTCCTTACTTCCCTGTCTCTAGTCTTTGTTGTCCTGCTATTTGGAAGGCTTTTTGTGTGATATACATTTTAATCATTTCATCATGCACTTGGTGGGCCGCAGGTGAGCATGAGATGGATGGAAGTTTATTAAAGGAGCACTGATCACTATCTGCCCCCTGAAAATGGCCTTATTGATTTTGCTTACAGGGGGGGAATAACAGCCTGAAGATGTGGACTGTGTTCGAGGTTTGTGTTGTCAATCATTTGCAACAACAGCTTAAGCTCTCTGTTGGGCTAACATGAATCTGAGTCAGATCTTTGTGCTAAAGATTTGATAGTGCAATATTTTTCTTTACCAAACACACTGCTTCACTGAAGTTAAATGTGCATTTTCTAAATCTGTTTCTTAACATGAATATTGATGAAACAAATTAATGATTGTATTTTTGGATTGTTGCTCTGAAAAAAGCAGGATTTTGATTAAGGAATTTATGGTTTTCTCTGTTTCATGTGACTAGAAGTCACTACTATTACCTGCTAACTATTCTGATAGATGTTTAAAGATTTTCAACCATGTCTCAAGCAAAAAGCCACACATTTACAATTTGAAGCTTACCAAATGTGTAAACCTGCCTGAGTTGAAAGGATTTCAGCTTGAGTGAAATATGTAACTACGCTTTGATAGCTGTGATAGGTCTGCTTGGTAGCATTGCATTTCTGGCAGACGCGCTGCCATTTTTGAACTGAGTTATAGGAACTAACACGACGGCGTCTTTCTTTTCCTTGTTGTATTTCCTTAAGAATAAGTACTTGCTCTTAAACATCTATCAGCTCCAACTCCAACACAATCCACTCAGTAACACTCGCCATTGTTCTGAAATTAACAGATGCCAGCTAATTTGTAATTAAGCGTACCAGAAACCGGAAGACACTCAACACTAGCATACAAACACGACGGCCTCTAGCATTTCTGCGGTATAGTTGCAGTGCAACTCACACACCTACTATGAATGCTCGGCCCTTGCTTATGCTACATGCATACCTACAGCGTAGCTTTGACGCAGAAGCATGAATTGGGCTTAAGTGAAAGTGGCCTCCCTGATGAGTTTGGTAATGAGTCTGAGTCGTAAGACATATAGTCGTCTCTTGTTCACTCAATTTGAAAAATCATTTTTTGAATACATTCCAGAAGTCTAAGCCAAACTTCACTTTCTATCTAAATAAAGCTTACTTCTTATCAAGGAGCGCAAGAGTACACTTATGCTTTGACTTCATAAAATACACTCTACGCCACTTACTCCAGGTTGGTCACTTGATCACTAGTTTGTAAGATTTAGTTTATATGGCAGTCTTTTTTTCAGTACATGCCTACCGGAATTTGTCCAACAACATTGTTTCTGATTCTGATTCCCATCATGTCCTGAACAGTAAAAATAGATTGTTACCATCCAAACAGATACAGCGTTCCTTGGTTTAATAAGGTGTGCCAGAAAAAACCCTTTGTGTACCAGTCAATCCTAAAATGAAATATGGAACTTAATCCCAGATCAAATGTAGGTTAAAGGGCCTTGAGCATCATCTTTGTTTCATACCATTACATGTTTGTAGTGTTATCTTTTGTGTTAACTTATTGGGATTTTAATGTTAAATGTATGTATTTTTGCTTCCTTTCTTAATTTTTGTTGCCTGATGTTGTAAATGGAGCTGCTATAAGACGCAAAACAAATTTTGGAAGTGTTCTGACAATATAAAGTATCATCATTTTCTGTTCACCCTGTTGACAGTCAAGTTAGTTTGAGTCAGACCTGGCACATTTTGGCGGAAGGGGAAGTACGTCCTGTATGAAAACAGTTCTCTCTTAGCATTAGTGCCAAAAAATAGAGCTGCTTTCTAAATACACAACTATCAAAGAAGAAGTATTTAGCAAGATTGTAACAAACTGCTGCTGAACACATTTAAAAAACGTTTCAGATCATACTACATTGTTAAAGAAGTATATAGAAAACTGTTAAGGACTCGTCCTTTTGTTGGTTGACCCTATCATTCATTATTTTAGAGTAAAAATTTCTGCCATACAGTAAACTGCATACAGATTTACTGTATTGTTCATAATGTGAGCCTACAAAGTCCATTTGTGTGCCCAGTCAACTGTGCAGGCCCAGCCAATGTAGGACAAAGCATGGTGCTGGACAAACCAGACAGTGAGCCTTTTGTTGTGGCTTTGACCTCTTTTTTTGTGTGTGTGTGAATGTCCATCTGAAAGCAGAAATTATTACCGGACACTGAAGAGGTGTGGGTGTCTGTGTGTGTCATTGCCCCTCTTTATGACACATGCTGACCTGAGTTGGGCAGGGAAAATGTGCCAAACTGTTTTCTGCCTCCTGCACACCCCTCCTCATTTCAAGTGATTTTCAAATGATAACATGTTTTATATATGATGAGTTTGTCTTATTTAATGGTGAACAGACAGAAGTACTGTAGTTACTTATTTTTAAGACCAATTCTTTTATTTATTTTTACAACAAATTTTCAAATCCTAATCTGTTAGTGAGGTAAGTGCTGAGGTAATCAAATGGTCACAGCTTGATGCTAAAATATTTGTTCTGTAATCACTGCAAACTGATGGAAAACTGTTTCTTGGTCACAGACAATTGAGGAAAGTGCACATTTTAACACTAAAAAACGAAATAATCACAACTGGTGTTCTTGAACAGTTGCTGCTATGAAAGTCTGTTTTAGAATTGGATTTCAAATGAAGTTGTAATTTACACTTTAGAAGTTACAGCAGATGTTTTGTCATTTGTTCTTAGGTGAGTCCATGCGCCAGTCTTCTGGAGAATTTGCAGAAGACCCCTGCTCTTCTGTGAAGAGGGGTAATATGGTTCGTGCTGCCAGAGCCCTCCTGTCAGCAGTCACACATCTCTTGGTGCTTGCTGACATGTCTGATGTCTATAAACTTCTACTTCAACTGAAACTGGTGAGATTGTCCGATTTTTTGGCATATTACACAATATAAACAAGCTTATTTGTAAGACTTTGTCATATAATTTACTCTCAAAGATTCCCCAAAATGTGAATCTGAAAACGGCATAAATTATTCCTATGGTATGAGAGGACCTACTGGATATCTTCTCGGCTAGGGAAGGCTCATCCCAACATATAAATAATATAGGAAAACTGAATAGGCCAGATTTGTCATTGGTTTTAACCCAAATTTTCATTACTGTTTTTGACAGAAGAGAAGGCATGGTATCAGCTTGAATTCATCATTCTTTTTAATAGATTAATTCAAAAGGTAAAAGTTTGGATATCTCTGACAAAACCCCCCAAAAATTGTCAAAAGTTAGGCTAAGTTATTATTGACTTTACACCAAATTGATAATTTCAGCTGAGTGGAACTAAACTGGGGCTAAACAAGTATTTTCTAACCTTTTCCATCTACCATGGTCAGGTGGAGGACAATCTGGTGAAAGTGCGTAATGCAGGAACAGAACAGGACCTGGGAATCCAATATAAGGCCTTGAAACCAGAGGTGGACAAGCTTAACATCATGGCTGCAAAGAGACAACAGGTAAGGTCAAGTTACCATGAAAGAGAGACAGGTTCAGATTGTGGTAGAAGGTTATCATGTACATGAATGGGTATTAGTGCTCCTGTCAATCTTAACAAAACATGCTATCCAAATGGCAGAGCAAATTGTGTAGTTGTAAGAGAAAGTAAACAACAGGAAGAGTGCCTCATGCTTAAGCTGGACATTAAATACTATAAGCATAAACTTGTACATGCATGAACAATCAATTACCAGTTTCAAGGATGTAGTGTAAGAGTGCAGGAGCATGCAGGCTTGAGGAAAAATGACAAAAGCCATTTCCTTGTGATCAGATATGGCACCTACAATGTTTTTCTCCACTGTGGTGTTCCTGGTACTCAGCAAACGACCCATTTATAAAGCATTTTCATTTATCTAGTTGATGCCACAAATGCAAATCTCTGCATATGGAGAAAGCATAGTGTTTTGATGTGTTAACTCAATAATTAATATGCAAATTATTGCATGTAATACTTTTAGTACCTTATATTAAATTAGTTTAATGTCCCCATATTAAATGTGTGTAGTACAGACGAGGATGCAAAATGACTGGTTGGCGGAGGCGTACAATCATGAGGCAGTAATTCTGTTGGTTAATGAAAGGAATACTTTTTTGCAGCCATTACGTCATATTGGAAAAATATACTTACATGCTTCAAGCGAAAACATTTGAATCAGTGAATATAAGCTTAATACCTGCCAGAGTGATCTGTGATGATTTTGTTTTACTTGTAATGGATTACAAAATGTGTTTAACTTTTTTTTCACGGTGCATGTAGTGGAGTCCTGGTAGTGTTCCTTTAGGAGGAGAGGTTTTGTACTTTTTTTGTGCTATAAGTCTGTGCCAGCGATCACTTTCTCCTCTCCTCCTTCCTATGAAGATGTAATTGCAATATAATGCAGAGGTCTGAATAGCAGCGCATTAAATTGCAAAGGCATATTATAATGGCCTGATTATGACTGTTGTGTTCCCACAGGGGACAGAAATAAATCTGGGTCATCCAGAACAAACTCTGTCACACTTAGTGTCCCCACAAGGGCATGACAGGCCCATTTTGAATTTAAAATACATTATCACCCCGCCCCCTGTAGGTATTCCATCTTCTAGTTTAACCCTTTATTTTTCACCCTTTTTCACTTTCCTTTTAATCTCGTTCTGCTAGGAACTGAAGGACGTCCAGCACAAGGACCAAATGGCTGCTGCTCGTGGGGTTCTCCAGAGGAACATCCCCATGCTGTACACAGCGTCCCGTGCTTGCCTCCAGCACCCCGATGTGGCAGCCTACAAGGCTAACCGTGACCTCATCTACAAACAGCTGCAGCATGCAGTCTCGGGAATCTCCAACGCCGCTCAGGCCACCGCATCTGAAGACTCTGCACTCAGTCAGCCAGCAGGGGGTGGCGAGCTTGCCTATGCCCTCAACAATTTTGATGTAAGTCAGATGAGTAGTTCACAAGTCACATCACATCCAGGTATCTGCCAGATCAATTCAAAACATCATATTTTTTCCAACACCAACAAGGCTCAGCTCCAATGAAAAAGATTTACTAACAGAGTTAGATGTAGGTGTGTTATTGAAGGATATAGTTTGGGCGTTTTTTTTTATAGAGCAAACCCAACTGAATCATAAAATGACCCAAACCCATTAAGTGCTTGGGGTCAAGGTTGAAATTGGGATGAGATATGTGGACAAATTGGGACATGCCTTCAGGGTACCTCGAATATGGTCTTGAGTCACTACAACATCCCTTGATTTGCCAAACGAATGAGATATGAACAACTCTGGCTTTCCGACAGAGAGACACATGTGAGGCTGCACTTAAAAATGTCATAGTATTCATCATAATATAAAAAATATAATATCATTTTCTGACATTGACTTATGTCAGACTCTCACTGCAGCTTTTTTTTAATAACTGAAGATTGTTCATATTCAGCTTCCAAAGACACTTAAAAGATCCACAGTGGCACATTAACTCCCTTTCAATGAGCACTTTAGAAGCACAAGTTTCCATTGTGTCCTCCACAAGTGTCCATTGTGTCCTCCTTTCACTAGACACAGCACTTCTCTTGTATTGATCAGTTATTCAGTTTCACAATTTGCTGTGTGTGTGTGTAGGATGATGCACTCTTAAAAACTCACAGCAGTGTTTCTCATTAACTACCATGACTGTGGCGGCCCACCAGTTTAATTTGTACTGCCACAGTTTAATTGTGATCTGAATTTTTTTTTACACTTCTCCAAATTACATTAGATATGTATAATGGAGTGTTTTACACCATTGCTTAATTGTAGAGCGATGCCTAACTCTCTTTTCCCCGCTGTCATGCTCTCTCTCTCTCTCCCTCTCCTTCTCCCAAACTCATTGACAATCGAACCCGTCCATCATAGTCAGCACCTGGAGAAATTTCACCCTGTTGGTGGATCATCAAAAAGATCCACAGATCTAGAACTCAGAACTCAGCATATCATTGGTAGTTTCCAGTTTAGCTCTGTGCACTTCCCTGACATGTATTCAATTCTCAGCTGGTAGGCAGATCTCGGCATAACACTGGCTGGCCCTCTCTCTTTCTACCTTTTTAATTTTGGTCTGGTAAATGTGCAGCTTACACGATAGGAGAAAATCTTTAATTTAACCAGGAACACACTTGAAATACATTATCTCTTTTTCATGCAACACCTGGTCAAAGTGGCAGTACAAGATATGTTATCACTTAGTCTTATTGCATTTGTAATCACACACCACAATGCTTTAGCCCACCATCAAAATCCTTCAGTAGCACTAAGCTTTTTAAGCAGCAAAAGTAGTCCTTTTGACATTACTCTTGAAGCATCCTTCATTAAGCATTGCTTTTCAAAAAAGTCTCAGAACTCAGTACTTAAACCATGCCGTTTTCTGCATCTTTACGCTTATGGTACCTCAAGTGATCGATGTGCATCCAACAAGTGGCAACAATGCTGTATCTGAGATCTGTTGCATCTCTTATTATTTTACAGGTAGCCATGCAGAATGTCACTCAAAAAACATGGATGCATACCTTTTTCTGACTTGGTTCTTCAAGAGCACAGCAAAATTAGCATGACTCACCCCCCCTCCCAAAATTCCTCTTTCTCTATTTCCTCCTCTGTGTCTCTCTCGTGTGCCTGTTGCCATGGCAATATGATACGCAAGCAGATGAGGTCAGATGAGACAGAATAGAGGGAGCTGGAGGTGGATGTGATAGAGGGCGGGCTGCCTAATAAACCACAGTTTTATCCGCTGAATTGTTGAATATTTTGTAGCAACAAGACATCTGTGGAAGCACAGAGTTCAATGGAGAAGTTGTCTTTCTTTGATTCGCTGCCACAGGCGTCACAGTGATATCTTAACCCTCTGCAGCGCCTCTTCAGAATGTCAACTAGTTGCCTCTCTGAGCAGGCTTGTCCCTGTAAAATCAGACATTTGGGTGTTCTCTCTCATCTTGCAGATATAAAAAAGAGGAGAGTGTGCTACTGTATCACTTCTGTGACTCAAATGAAAGGTAGCAAATCAAATTCT